GTCACAGAAAACCAGTGCAACTGCGCGTTTTTTTTTTGCAGCTTATACTTCATTTGACTGAAAGATACTCGCATTAATATTTTTTTCTTATATACCTGTAGTAGAAAATAATTATTAGCACATGAGCCTGTTCTGTGCTGGCAATTGTCTTGAGGGCGAGTTTTGAACAAACAAACTGCCGGTTGATTTTAGGCAAAGATTGCGGAAACACCTTTCCATTATTATTTACAGCCTCCAACCAGTTTTCAGCCTCCAGGGTAAGCAAAGTATGCAAATTATCCCAATTTTGAAGTGCATTATGAAAATAGAAGCGCCAAGGGAGTGCAGTGCGTATTTTTGCAACAAGAATTCAGTTTTGATCTTTCGTAAACTGTTTTTGATCGTCTTTTTGCTCCTGTAGTCAGGATATTAAAAGTGCTCTTGCCAAGTGCAAATAGACTCAAAAAGAATCAACTATTTCTTTATTCCAATTCACTCCCTATTTGCAATGGCTAAAAACTAATGTTGCCTCTCGTTTGTGGGCAACTTTTTATTTTTTAGAACGACTTATGCAGATTAGATAAATGACCATTGAAACTGTAACTCATATTGAAACTAGCTCAAAAACTCAGGTTAGAAAAGTATTTTTAATTTTTATCGAACAAAAACGCACCATTCATTTGTTGTAACTTTCTTACGATCGTCAAACTTGATTATGTTTTTTTTTTGTTTTTTTTTTTGGTATCAAATTAGAACGTAATTATGTCTTGTTACTACTGCACTTTATTTATTTTCAGAACGACTTGTGCAGATTAGATTATACTTGAAAAACCAAATTGCAACCCATAATGAAACTAGTTCAAAAAGTTCAGATAAGAAAAAATAGTTTTTATTTTCATTGAACAAAAACGCACCAGTCATTTTGAATTTTTTACGATAGTTAAAATTTGTATCACGTTTTGTTTTTGTTTTTGTTATCAAAGTAAAAGGTAATTGTGTAGTTTTACTACTGCACTTTGCTTTTTACTGTGTAGAAATATTTTATAATCATAATCAAATGAAAGCAAGACTGACAATCATTCAGGTCACTCTGAATCTTTCAGGTCTTTTTTTTAATCAATAGGTTGACAAGAGCTTTCAGGGGACATTCGTATAGAAGGCTCATATGATTGACGTTTTCTCTGATGGATAAGGAGGAAACCTTATCTTTTTCAAATCTACTCTCTGACGAATTTTTAATTCTTAGGGGAAATGTTGTTCCTGAAATGTTGTTCCATTCATAGTTTGTTGAACATGTAAGACATTGGAGACGGTCACTGATCTAACTGAAATGCCATCACCCTCATATTTCAGCCTCATTATCACTGGTTCCCATCATCTGATGAAAATCTTCAATTTTTCCTCAATCTGCAGTTCAATTTTCTGACAACCTCTTTTCATTTAATTTTCTCAATTATCTTCAGGATATATTAAATAATAGTCTGAAATAATTCCAGTTTTTGTTGTTCAATTGTAGTGACGCTTTTTCTTATGTTTGTAAAAGTATTATGGTTTGTTTATTTAACCTCTGATCTTAACTTACCATCGACCTTTAAGTTGTTAATTTATATACCTGCCAAAAGCGCAACGGCTTTTGGTAGACTCTGAATTGGACACTATCTTTTATGATACGTAACAAATCAATCGCAACCAATTCAATCTTTTAAACCTCTCTTAACTTAGATAGAATCCCCCGTCTTTTATTTAGTCTTAAATAAAAGCCTACAATTTTAGTAGGAATCTTAATCATCCACAGTCTTAATCTATTCTTAGTTTAAGTCACTCTTTTACAACACGAGTGGTATCCTAATTTTTTAACATGGCGCAGTCGAATGAATCAAACCTACGCGGACTAGAGTTTTTTTTGGAACAACTCATCATACGAAAATCAACATGACTGGGAAAGGTGGGCGGAAAAATTCAACTGACAATTATTGCGAAAGACTCCGTAGACATCGAAGATGTAATTAACCCACCGATTAAGAGATGAACTAATCTACCCTATGGCAGAACCACTGGACCCCAGCCGAGGATCAGACCCGTCGGGCCGAAAAAAGAGGAACGTCATAGAGTAGCAGTACAAAATTACAACGAAGAATTAAAAAGGAGGAAGGGCGGAAGATAACGCAAAATTCAACGGACTTCAAATAGGAGATATTGACAAGAAGCTCAAATCACAGCTATTCCTAGCACTCGGGGAAAGAAGGACAGAAATGCTTTTCTCATAAAAATCCTGGAAAAAAATTCTGGATATCAATTTCGCAGAATTTTGGGGAACTATTAAAAACGACTTTCACGATCCACTACACAACCTAACATACGAAAGATTTAAATTTTTTGGCCGAAGACAGAAAGAACATGAGTCCTTAGAAAAATTCCATGAAATTCTTTCAGAACTAGCAAAAAATTGTAAACTGGGGGAACTCGAGTCAGAACTAGTAAGAGACATTTTCATAACCCAACATGAGAAATGTCGAGATCCAAAGAAACTATGCATTGAATACTTGACCCCCAGAAACGTACTATCTTATGTATTAGTTCACGAAAAAGGTACTAAAATTCATCAACAGTATCTAAAATTCCCAACTTACAACCCAGGACCAAGATCACAATACGTGAAGAACGAACCAACATTAAACATAGTCGAAAATAACAAGTGCCGTAATTGCGGTCAGCAATTCAAAAAAGGACACCTATCCACATGCCCGGCTAGAGATAGAAACTGCAATACGTGCGGACGGAAAGGACATTTTGCTAAACACTGTAGGAGTTCAGCAAAAACTCAAACTAACATCGTCGATCAGAATCGGGTACCCCAAGAAAACGAAAATATCCGGGCCAACCCGCAGGAAAATCCCGAATTTGAGGTTAACCTAGACGACTTCTTAGTTCTATCCATCGACACAGATAACCAAATAAATGCCGTAGAAGACAAAATAGAGCGCGGAGTGAGAACAGTATTCAATCACGAAGGATTAGAATTGAAAAAGACACTAAAAAAAGCTCTGGGAAAATTCAACCCCTACTATACCGAGATCCAAATTGACTCTGCAAGCCCAGTTTCCTTCATGAAAAAAGACCTACTACACGAACTGAAGATACGAGACAGATTTGTAAAGCTAGAACCTGTGGACGAGATAACAAAGAAAGCATACCAGGGTTTCGGGAGTACGATCAATATTATTGGAAAAGTTCGAGTGAAAATCCAATCGAAAGGATGGGAGGCTAATGATCAAAAACTTTTTATCACAGAAGGGGCTGAAAGAAACCTACTAGGAAATGACATCCTACCAAATTTGGGTATTGTAGTATTTCAAAAACAACCTCCACCCAACGGGTCAAAGTCACGGGAAAACCAGAAAGTACCACCCATCGGGACAAATGTCAATCAAATAAAATTCGCATCCGACATCCAACAGGATCAAAACCAAGAGACATCATCCCAACGTGAGTTTAAATTATACATATCAAAGCACTTTCCAGACCTTATAAAAAGAACTGGTAGATCAAAAAACTACGTAGTTAATACTTATTTTAACGAGCCGATAAAACCGATACAGGTGAAAGGGAAACGTATCCCAATCCATCTTCTCCCCAAAGTCAAACTATGCATCGACCAATTATTAAGTGACGGACACATTGAAAAACTATCTAGATGCTCTGAAGATTGTTTTATTTCCCCTATCGTGATTACAGCAAAAAGGGATGGATCAATAAAACTAGCGTTGAACTCAAAACTACTAAACAAACAAATATTTCGCAATAGATATCAAATGCCGAATCTATTCGAACTAATTGACAACGTTGCAGTCACTATTAGCGGCCACGATCAAAGAAACATCTGGTTTTCGTCGATAGATCTAAAATACGCCTACAGCCAAATTCCGCTTTCGAAAAAGGCAAGTAATCAGTGTAATTTTAACATTGTGGGGGGAGAAGTAACGGGTTCATACCGTTTTAAAACCGGATTCTATGGACTAGGCGATATGCCCAATGAATTTCAACGTATAATGGACCGTTTGACGGAAAAACTACCAAATACTCATTGTTATCTTGACGACATCCTAATCGCCACCGTAGGTAGCGAGGAAGAACATAAAAAGCTAGTCATTAATGTGTTAAAAACGCTAGATGACGAGGGACTAGCCATAAAATGGGAAAAATGCACGTTTTTAACTCATAACATAGAATGGTTGGAATTTAGAATCGACGCAAAAGGGACGACACCATTAATACATAAATCTGACGCAATCAGAAACCTAAAGGAACCAAACTGTATTAAAGACATCAGATCCTTAATGGGATCGATTAACCAATTTAATAAGTTCATACCAAACCTAGCGTCCCTATCAACACCCTTCAGAGAACTTATGCAAAAGAATAAACCATTTAAGTGGTCCACAGTACATACGGAAGCGTTTGAAAAAATCAAGAACGAAATTTGTAATACGGTGATGAACCACCATTTCGATGTAAAACTGAACACTCGGGTGAAATGCGACGCCTCACATTTAGGATTGGGCGCGTCAATCGAACAAGACCATTGGGGAAATTGGAAGACCGTAGCGTTCGCTAGCAGATTTTTGAATATCGCCGAATTAAAATACAGCACTAACGAACTCGAATTACTGGGATTAGTCTGGGCACTAGATCATTTCAAAAATTATCTACTGGGTAAACAATTCTCAATTTTAACAGATCACAAAGCCTTAATAGGAGCACTGAAAGACGATAAATACACTAAAACGGCCCAATCACGCCTCACCCGTTGGGCGGATAAACTATTACCGTTCGACTTTACCGTAGAACATTTACCCGGTAAAGATATGGGATTTGTCGATTATATATCCCGACACCCATCGGGTGAACCCGTACCAGTTTCTCTGGATGACGAGAAGTTCGTTATCGCTTCAGTAAACCAGATTAGTACACTCCTAGGCTTTGATCACCTTATGCCAAAAAATTCGTGGGCGCAAATAAGAAATAAATTTTCTCAACATTTCTTAGCACATGACGTCACTTCTTGCAATGCGATTAGCCAGTCAACAGATCATATGACCAGTCAAGAAATAGAACGTGAGAAACGAATTGCTAATGCCGCTGAAACTTTCCAAGCGATATCTAACCATTCCAACATTTCAGTGTGTCAAAATTCTCACTCGCGTACAGAACTGTGTGACTCATCTTGCAAAACTAACGACTTTTTTACGAATTTTAAAATCCTGAAAGAAATGGCAGA